TGTGACCGATACATGTGGATTTCTGCCATAATTAAACAGGCTGTTAAACTTGAAGAGGGAGGATTTGCCATCGAACTTCTGGCCAATTCAGTTTATTTTTCAATTCAGTTTATTTTTCAATTCAGTTCTATAAACCTTTTTCTAAGGAAAACCAGCTGATTGCATCGACTCATTGACTCTTCAGCAATCTCTCACACTAAGCATGCTTGTAGCGACAGTGGAGAGGAAAAACTCCCTTTGAACAGGAAGAAACCTCCAGCAGAACCAGGCCAGAGAAAAACCCGTAATATGTAGCCAACATTTGAAAGAAGAATATTTTCAAGATGACTTGGATAATAGCGCGTTGTGACAAACACCAGATACAGCACTGGGACTTGATCAACAGCCGACACCGCACCGTGACGTCACTAACCAGTAGGTGGCAGTAGTGTTCTTTGACAAACATGGATGCCTCCAGTACAGCACATTCACATGAAAATTACTCTGAATTAAAAACACTGATCATTTATTGAACAGGATGGAATCATTTCAGATTTAAAGAACTTTCAGAAGTTTGAATTCTAATATGTCACTCTGTGTTTAATGAATGAATTTGATTTACAGGTTCCAGTTCTACGTGACCAGCACCTGTGTGGTTCAGAAATAAAACACTCAGCTGTAACGGAAGGAAGAGCAAGCCCACATGTTTCTCTAAAGCTTTTTGATTTGTCCACAAACTGGAGCTGTAAGCAGCCAGATGTGCAGCGTAGGGCGGCGATGCTGAGCCGTCTGAGGATTTAGCTTCGATCTAAACTGATGGAGACTTTGGCCCCGTCCACACGAAGTCAAAACGAACACGAAACGCTGATATTTTCCAAAACGTTTGCCGTAAAGACGGAGACGTAAAATAAATGTGAGCGTCCACACGAATGCATGAAAACGCTGCAAAATGTATGCCAGGCCTGTAAGTGGCGCTGTGGTGCCAAAGCAAAAATAAGCGACGAAATGTTGGGCATGCGCACTAATATTTATACATGGTTGCCCTGCGGGTCCATTTTCGTGGTTCAGTCAAATTCAGGTGCTGAACTATGTGGTCGATATTGCTCTGTTCTTCCTGGAGATATTCCAGAAGAAGAAGATTCTGTTGTAAGCCCGACAGCAGGATGAGTAGCATTAGCAGCAACGGCGCCATTGTTGTTGTGATACTGGTCGCGCATTCGTGTTTAGAGGCGACGCTATGACGCATGCGTGTAAAAAAAAATATGCGGTTAGAGCGTAAAGATGGAAACGCGAAAACGGCGTTTCGAAATCTTCCCACTCTGAAGGCTGAATAAAAAAAAGATCGTTTACAGACCCCCGAAACGCCGGCTTCGTGTGTATGAGAGGCTGGTTTGGTGAAAAATTTGTGCGTTTAGGCCAGGGTTTGGCTTCGTGTGGACGGGGCCTTTATGACAATGTTTCTTAGAACAGCTGGTGTGGCTCAGGAGTCTGGATACGCTGCTGATGGTACGTCCTGTTCAGCCTACCTATCAGTTTCCTGTTGCCTTTCTGCAGGAAGTTGCTGTGGTGGGTGAAGCTTTTTTCTGCTGAGTTCTCACACCTTTCTGTAAGTGATGCTATGAGGTTACTGCTGCAAACAGAAAAACTGCTGCAACGAAAGAAACGGCTCGCCCTGAATCAAACCGAATAATGTCTCATATTGCTGTTTGAATACCCCAGGCATTATTTTAATTATCTACTGCACAGTTTAAAAAAATCCTGCTTTTAGGTCAAAAACTTCTTTGGCTCCCTCCTCAGGACAAAAAGGTTACTACAACCTCGGATGTGAACCATTACTCTTTTCCCACAGATTTAAAAACCCGTTTAAATACGGGAATAATTGGCTTTTAGAGACAGTGGGAACAGTTCACTGACGAGTGTCTACCCGAGTCAAACAACTTGGCAAGCGACCCACGTTGAAATGTCCTCGGCTCTGATCGCTATCGGCCCGCTAAATTACGTGATACCATCGAACTTTACATTCGATAAACATGGAGCAGCTCTGGTGAGAGGGATTCAGACAGATAATAGAGAGAAACAATTACGCACTGGCTTCCTTACATTATACTCTCCATTGTTTACTTCCCTGATTTCCATCGTAACTGGTGACATCATCCCGCTAACCCAGTGTGATGGCGTCATCAGGCTCGCAGCTGCCAGTGAGGGGTTAGACCAGCTTTATTTGCCAGTATGAAGGGAACCAAATGCTGATTGTCAACCCATGTTTGAAAAACACGCGTTGACGCGCTAATATCAGGGGTAAAGAGGCTGAAGTAAAGGTAGCGGCTCTTCCCCGGGCATCTGCTCTCTGCTTACACACGGTGATTCACTTAGGGACAGAAAAAAATGTAATTCAAGCCTTTCTAATGGAAAATAATCAATTTTTCTCATTTTAACATGACCAAATTCTTTAAAACTGGATAAAAACAATCTGCATCATCTTTCCAGCCTTAATTAGTGAATTGACACCAGTTCTGTGTCAATCAGTCACATGATCTAAAAGCTATTGGGAAAAAAAAACATGAATTTTGCAGAGAAAAATTATTAATAAATGGAAAATGATTCACAGGACATTAAAGTAACTGTTTCCTGTTTATCTACAGCGAAGGTCTTCAACGGGGGTCACGACCCCAAGGAGGTACTGCATGAGGGTTGCGAAAGTTTTGGTTGATTTTTTTTTTTTATATTCCCCTGCAATTTTTTTCACTAATTGAAATGTCTTTAAATCCACATTAACATGAATCCAACAGACTGTAGTAAACAGATTAATGGAGGCAGAAGATGTCTTTCAGTCATCAATGCACACATTCAGAGACACACAGGAGCTCTTTCAAGCTGGGCACCGTTTCATTCACAACACCTGTCCCATCAACAAGGAAGCAGAAATACTTGAATAATCCCAGGGAGGGATTACTTTAGTTACATTACTCCATCTGCAGAGATGGCAAAAGTACTCCCTTTCCGTACTTGAGTAAAAGTACAGATACTTGTGTTAAAAAATACTCTGGTAAAAGTGGAAGTACTGATTAAACTTCTTTACTCAAGTAAAAGTAACAAAGTACAGGCTTGTAAATTTACTTAAAGTATAAAAGTAAAAGTAGAAACCACTTTTTTCATGCCGTTGCCTACATTTTAAATGGATGTCTGCTAATAGGACTAGATCTCCGTTGTGTTCATTTTCAATCATCTCGTCGTCCATGCTACTATGCTAACGCCACCGCCACCAGGCTGCAATGATTTGCCGCGAATGAATACCGCCGAATCTGTCGATTCATCTTGTAGTGGTGCGTCAAATGCAACGTAGATTCCCATCCAATTAGATTGAATTTGGTATTGATGACGTGAAAAATAATAACGGTAACTCCATTGAAATGATTCAAAACTAAAGTAACGAGACAATTTTTTAAAATGTAAGGAGTAGAAAGTACAGATATTTGTGTAAAAATGTCAGGAGTAGAAGTAAAAAGTCGCCATAAAATTAAGTAGTAAAGTAAAAATATCAGAAAAATCTACTTGAGTACAGTAACGAAGTATTTGTACTTCGTTACTTCCCATCTCTGTCCATCTGTAATAGAGGGACTATAGGACCAGTTTGATAGACCACTATTTCATACAATATATATAATTAGGGGGTCCCCGCTCCATCTGGCCATCAGTTGGGGGTCCTTGGCCTGGAAAACGTTGAAGACCCCTGGCTTAGAGTGTTTGGATCAGATATTTATTGACGGTTCCATGATAACGTGAGCGGAGGGAGAACCTCTAAGGCTGTGGAGTGACTTCAGTTGAACTTTAGTAAAAGATCTAAACTGGAGCTGCATAATGGAGGAGCTCCAGACCACTAGGGGGAGACAGTTATCAAATGCAAAAAGTAGTGATCATCTGTCCGAACCTTAGACATTATATACAGACGCCTTAATGGACGCTGTGGGCAGCGAGGCCAACATGCCTGCAGGGTTACCTCAAATCTATTTATTTTATTATTCTATGTGAACTAGCTTTAAACAGCCAGCACTGGTGTTAAGTTCATAAGTCACTTTATTTTATTTATTAGTTTCCTTTGTCAGGTGTATTTTATTTGTTTTAATGCAAGCGTTTGTGTTTGTGCCTTTGAACCTTAACAAAGTTCAAAATAAATATGCAAATATAGTCAGAACATCTTCCATGTCTGCATGTGTTCCTTAAAATTGTGTTTTTTTTTTAATCAAAAAGATGAGAGAAAATGTTAAAATGTGAAATAATTTTAGGAAATGTTAAATATTATCTGCTGACAAAAAAGTAAAAGGTTAAAATGATGTCCTGACTAAAACTAGACTAAAATGTTGACAGTTTTTGTTGACTAAAACTAAACGAATAAAATTATGTTTTTCTGTATTTCTAAAATAAAGACTAAAATGCTCTGACTTATAGTCGACTAAAACTAGACTAAATAAAAATGCGATGATGTTGACTAAATGTGATAAAAACTAACAAGCGATGCTGAAACTGGACTAAAACTGAAACTAAATTTAAAAATGGCTGCTAAAATTAACACTAGCAATATTATATATTTATATATATATATATATATATATATATATATATATATATATATATATATTTATATATTAGGATCCGCCCTCTTTTAAAGTGGAGAGGGTGGGTGTTCCAAAAAATCTATGAAAATCCTCCTTAATACCTTTAAGGTGGATTTTTTGTTTTATTTGTTTGGGAAATTGAGAATTTATGTCCATCCTGGTTTCTCGTGTTGGGGGCCCTAAACGGGCTAGGACCGCCCCTGGATTCAGTTGAACTCAGAACAGACGTAGCTGCGTTAATCTGACCGACTGGTAATCAAAGCAAGCAGCGATTTTTCTGGGCTGGTTTGACAGGAAAACCCTTCATTCTGGTGATGTTTCTCAGCTGGAGGCGGGTGGAGGATACCGGCTCCACTTTATAACCCTGACACCACCCAGACGGATCTGGTTCTGCTCTGGAGAACTCACCGATGCTGCCAGGTGCAAAGAAACTGCTGGAGTCTGACGCAGGAGAGGAAACGTCTTCATAGTCGGGATCACCTGCTGACAGATCATCAGCTAGAAGAAAAGAAAAAAGGCTCATAAGTTTACATCCCGGCCCCTGCATCCTTCCCATAAAACCCAACAGACCTGACACCAGGTGATAGTCTGAGCCCTCTATGGACTGACTGGCTGGGGTGGCGATGTCGTATATGGGTGAGGCCGACGGCGGCAGGGAGCGAGGCTTCTCTTTGGGTTTCACCGTGCTGTAGATGGGCGCCGAAGATGCTCCTTTGCAATCGTTGTCATAGTGATGGGATGAAGGCAGCGTCCTGGAAGCAGAAGAAGATATTTTCTCCTTACCTTCCACACCGCTGTCCTAAAACAGACTAATCACGTTCTTTAAAGCAGGACAGTTTCCAGATTAGGAGGACGTCTCCATCATCTCCCATGATTCATTGTAAATGGAAGCGGATTGGTTGATCTCTGGATGCAGTGGTGGAGGATCGCATGAAAGTTCAGATTAAAACATTAAATATATAGAAATAAATATAAAATCTGTTAGTTCATTCTCTCTCTTTCTTATATTGCCTTCAGTCTCAAATGACATCATTTTTTGCTATCAGTGTGAATTTTTGTTTTCTCTCATAGGTTATATTTATTTAAAAACTTTCCTTTTTGATAAAGCTTCTAGTTAGAGTGGCTCAGGTTATCCTGAGCTATCTCTATAGTTCTGCTGCTATAGGCTTAGACTGCTGGAGGACATAGGTACCCCTTTTTCATCATTCTGCTTCATTCTATCTCTATTCTCCCACTCTGCAGAATCTGTTAGTTCAATCTCTAACGTTCTGCTCTCTCTGCTTTTTCTCATAGTAGCTTCATCTGGTCTGTTCCTGTTTGGCTGTGACTCCATCCTGGAGAGAAATATCAGCTGTGCTGCTGCCATCAACACCTTTGTTTCTAGATGTTGGAGCTTGGCCTGTTTTCCAGTGTAGTCCTGTTTCTCTGACTGTGACTAACTGGATGTGTTCTCTTCATCCTCTGACATGGGAGCTGGCTCGGAGCTCGTCTGCCTGGCTGTGTGTTTCCTGGACGGGGCCGCCTGTGGAGCTGGTTGACAGTTGCCTTTTGTATCTATGCTTCTTTTTCTATGTCTGCTTCTGTCTCCTTGAACCCCAGTGGGCCTCAGCAGATGGCCGCTCACACTGAGCCTGGTTCTGCTGGAGGTTTCTTCCTGTTCAAAGGGAGTTTTTCCTCTCCACTGTCGCTACAAGCATGCTTAGTGTGAGGGATTGCTGAAGAGTCAATGAGTCGATGCAATCAGCTGGTTTTCCTTAGAAAGAAAACTTTGAATCAATCTGACTGGATGATCTGATGAACTGGAAAGTGCCCTGAGATGACTTGATGGGAATGGGAGCTATAGAAATAAACTGAATAGAATTGAAATATTGAACTTTCTGTGTTTCAAAATAAAAGTTTAAAATGTTTTTTGTTCAGAATATTGTTATGTTGAACTGAAACAATTTCTCGGTTAATCCAAGTTTCTCTGAATAATTGTTGCTTATTGTGTTGAATCTACTGTGTGGAAGTTAAAGAATCAGATGATTTTGAAATGTTGATGTTTGTCTTTTATTTGTTATGCAGTAAATCTTATTAAGCTTCGAAACAAAATAACAGAATATAAATTTACTGGAGGGTTCAGGTCGGTGGAGAGACTTCGTCTCAAGTGGAAGAGTTCAAGTATTTAGGGGTCTTGGTCACGAGTGAGGGAAAAAGTAACTGTTAGACCCTGATATAAAGAGCTGGGTAGCGCTGTGGCTAGCTGTGCTCACTAGCTAACAGGTTAGCCTCTTTTAGCTCGGTCAGTTAGCCATATTAAGCTACACTACTTTAAACTTTGTGTCAAAAACACCTGTTCATTTCTACAAATAAAATAACTGTTTTATTTGTCTAAAATCTCTATGAAAGTCATTTTTTAAGATGTTCCATTTGTCCTCCTCTGACCTCAGATCTTATTAAGAAGAAATTATATCAAGACTGACAATTATTGTTTTCTACTTTCAGCGACTTTAGATCCAATCAAAGGTAAAATAATATGATATAATATAAAAATATATGTTGAGATTGCAGAAGAGATTTGATCCTTAGGAAACGGCGCCCTCACAGGTGAAGGAGCAGGACCGTGAGCTGATGATTGAACGCAGGCTGGCTGTAGTGAACTCAAAGGTGAGATGGGATCATATCTTTGACGTGCACGCTCACTTAAAGGCGGAAAAGCCCAACAAATTTGGAATATTGAATTCGCCACGTAGAGCCAGCAAGAAAAGACTCAAGGCTGATGGAAAATTCCTGTGCAGCCTGTTCTCAAAACAATAAGTGTTATTTGGAATTCAGCCCCCCCCCCTTATCAAAATCTCCCCTGGATGTTATGGTGGAAGGGCCCAGAAGAACTGCTCCCCCTGCTATAAAGTGTGAAATATGCTATTTTTCCCCCTCTCCCTCATCAACGAGGCTCCTATCTTTCCACAGAGGTAAAGGCGGCGCTATAGGGAACCGCCTCATGGTGGGGCCCTCAGCAGCCATAAGAACGCAGCAATGGCAGCGGATGGCCTCAGTAAATCCTTCCCCCTGTCAGCAGCCCCCATCAAAATGTATGTGATGCAGGACTTGTACTGAAACTGCAGATTTTAGTTGACATTAAAGAAATTGATTGATTGTTTTTTGCTGCTCTCCTAACCCTTAAAGCTTTCTCATAAATGGTGAGAGGTGTTGCTGATGTTCCGCTGTATTTATAAACCCGTTCTAAGGTTTCAGTCAATACGCCGAGTCCAGCTGCTGCTGATGGGGTTTAGCCCCTAGAACCCTACGGACCCACCGGCGGGTCCAGCTGCTACGTGACCTCGTAATTTTAACAAACCCCCAGTATTGATGTAAAAAACACATTTGGCACAGTTTGGTGACATTTTTGGATAAATGTGCCAAAATGGCCTCTCCGCCTAAGAAATTTCTCACTAATACCATTCTAAAATAAATATGATTCATCTGATTGAGTCCAAATTTGGTATATTTTTACACAACATTTAGATTTAAAAGTCTGTACTACTTTTTTGTGCTATAAATAATATTTTGGTAGTGTTTTGCAATGTTTATTTCAAAGAAAATTTTGGCGAGGTTCAAAAAATGCTAAATATTTTGTATTTTGTCCCTAATATTTCAGGCAGGGTCAAAGCTACAATGGTGCTGACACCAGAAAACCATTCTATGACATCTTACCTTTACAGACGTACCAAAAGTTTCTTCTTAAATCTAATGGCTGTGAGGCTATAAGTGATTTACTTTTGTGTGTTTTTGTCAGGCAGAAATTTATTTATACCACCTTAGGGTGTAAGAGGTTAAACTAAAGCATTCAAAAGAAAAACATTTAAATAAAGCGGAGAACATTCAGAGTCAGACTCTACCTGCTTCCAGGTTTGGCCCGTGGTGTCACCACAGGACAGTAGGCGGGTTCTGATGTGGTTCTGTGGGGTTGCTTGGGCTTGTTGACAACAGCGTACGTGTCATTCATGGTAGGCTTTGATAACCTGTGAACAGAGAGAGAAGCTGATGCCAGAACCACCACTCATTCTGCAACATCATAACATTTCAACTCGGTTTTTTATGTTTATTGTTATGGGTTTAATCACTGATTAATTTCCATGCTGAGCAAACATCAGCTCAGAAGCTCTGCAGCTTTTAAACCCAGATCCATCCATTAACATGCAACTATTCTATCGAACTGAACCGTTAACTTCACAGAAACAGCTTTTTATTACCCAGAACAGAAATGACTGTTACAGGAACTAAATCTGCTAGTCATGGAGGTTTTTCTGCAAACTAAACTAGTGGAATCACACTTTGAGAGCGAGGCGTCTGTTTACAGTTCCTCTGTCTGAAAAGGCTAAAAGTAAGAAGAGATCAGCCTGATAGAGGAAGCAGAACCGGTGTTGTGTCAGAAGAGCATACCCCGTCAGACCGGCATACCCATATTCAATACGAATGCGCATCAGATTTGAGTTTATCCCTTTAGTTTTGAAGAAAAATGGACTTTAAACTATCTCAACGGCGTGTATCCCTTTAGTTATATACAAAAAAAATATTTCATCACTTCCTTTCTGGTGTTTTTTGAAGCGTATGGCCTTAAATAGTTTTTTTTTGTACATGAATAAAGGGATACACGCCCCCACATTCAGGCTGCTGCTCTATACGATAAACTTTGAAAGTATAAACAACAAGTTAGGCTCCCAAGTAAAGTAGGTCACATGGTTAAACATAAGTAACTCACAAACATAAAAGTAGTTAGTAATTAAATAAGCAGCACCAATGGAAAAAGCAAAAATTAAATAGAAAATAATTAGTAAAGATAAAAAAGTGCAATAGAAATGAAATAGAATACAATGAAAGAAAAAAAATTACATATTATTGCATTAATAAGGTCATGGCCGGCGTCGAGGTAGTTTAAAGTTTTTTTTCGAACAAAACTAAAGGTATAAACTAAATTTTCAGTTTGTATGTTAATAGTCTTCCTGAAGTCAATCTGCAAATGTATGCTGATGACACCATTGTTTATACATCGGACAAAAGCGGTACTGTTGTCAGTGAAAAACTTCAGAGCAGTCTGCAGAGATTATCGACATGGCTAAAGGACTCTTGCTTAACTCTCGATACAAATAAAACAAAGTTCATTTGCTTTTCAATTAAGAAAACATCATTACAGTCTTTGAACATTCAGATTAATGAGGTCCCTATTGAACAAATACCATTAAGCGATTGCATACAGAGACTGCAGGGCAATAGCAGATCTACCAGAGCAGCTTTGGATGGAAATTGTAAGGTCCCCTTTGGAAGAACCACTTTTGCTCAAAGGTGATTGTCTGTGAGAGGATCTGCAGCTTGGAACTCACTTCCTGTTCACTTAAAGTCTGCAACCAGTTTGCTGGTCTGATGGGTATGCTGGTCTGATGGGTATGCTGGTCTGATGGGTATGCTGGTCTGATGGGTTTGCTGGTCTGATGGGTTTGCTGGTCTGATGGGTTTGCTGGTCTGATGGGTATGCTGGTCTGATGGGTATGCTAGTCTGATGGGTTTGCTGGTCTGATGGGCGTGCTGGTCTGATGGGTATGCTGGTCTGATGGGTATGCTGGTCTGATGGGTATGCTGGTCTGATGGGTATGCTGGTCCGATGGGTTTGCTGGTCTGATGGGTTTGCTGATGGGTTTGCTGGTCTGATGGGTATGCTGGTCTGATGGGTATGCTGGTCTGATGGGTTTGCTGGTCTGATGGGTTTGCTGGTCTGATGGGTATGCTGGTCTGATGGGTTTGCTGGTCTGATGGGTTTGCTGGTCTGATGGGTTTGCTGGTCTGATGGGCGTGCTGGTCTGATGGGTATGCTGGTCTGATGGGTATGCTGGTCTGATGGGTATGCTGGTCTGATGGGTATGCTGGTCTGATGGGTATGCTGGTCTGATGGGTTTGCTGGTCTGATGGGTTTGCTGGTCTGATGGGTTTGCTGATGGGTTTGCTGGTCTGATGGGTATGCTGGTCTGATGGGTATGCTGGTCTGATGGGTATGCTGGTCTGATGGGTATGCTGGTCTGATGGGTTTGCTGGTCTGATGGGTTTGCTGGTCTGATGGGTTTGCTGATGGGTTTGCTGGTCTGATGGGTATGCTGGTCTGATGGGTATGCTGGTCCGATGGGTTTGCTGGTCTGATGGGTTTGCTGATGGGTATGCTGGTCTGATGGGTATGCTGGTCTGATGGGTATGCTGGTCTGATGGGTATGCTGGTCTGATGGGTATGCTGGTCCGATGGGTTTGCTGGTCTGATGGGTATGCTGGTCTGATGGGTATGCTGGTCTGATGGGTTTGCTGGTCTGATGGGTTTGCTGGTCTGATGGGTTTGCTGGTCTGATGGGTATGCTGGTCTGATTGGTTTGCTGGTCTGATTGGTTTGCTGGTCTGATGGGTATGCTGGTCTGATGGGTATGCTGGTCTGATGGGTTTGCTGGTCTGATGGGTATGCTGGTCTGATGGGTTTGCTGGTCTGATGGGTATGCTGGTCTGATGGGTTTGCTGGTCTGATGGGTTTGCTGGTCTGATGGGTTTGCTGGTCCGATGGGTATGCTGGTCTGATGGGTTTGCTGGTCTGATGGGTTTGCTGGTCTGATGGGTATGCTGGTCTGATGGGTATCCTGGTCTGATGGGTTTGCTGGTCTGATGGGTTTGCTGGTCTGATGGGTATGCTGGTCTGATGGGTTTGCTGGTCTGATGGGTTTGCTGGTCTGATGGGTTTGCTGGTCTGATGGGTTTGCTGGTCTGATGGGTATGCTGGTCTGATGGGTTTGCTGGTCTGATGGGTATGCTGGTCTGATGGGTATGCTGGTCCGATGGGTTTGCTGGTCCGATGGGTATGCTGGTCTGATGGGTATCCTGGTCTGATGGGTTTGCTGGTCTGATGGGTTTGCTGGTCTGATGGGTATCCTGGTCTGATGGGTATGCTGGTCTGATGGGTTTGCTGGTCTGATGGGTTTGCTGGTCTGATGGGTATCCTGGTCTGATGGGTATCCTGGTCTGATGGGTTTGCTGATCTGATGGGTTTGCTGGTCTGATGGGTTTGCTGATCTGATGGGTTTGCTGGTCTGATGGGTTTGCTGGTCCGATGGGTATGCTGGTCTGATGGGTTTGCTGGTCTGATGGGTTTGCTGGTCTGATGGGTATCCTGGTCTGATGGGTATCCTGGTCTGATGGGTTTGCTGGTCTGATGGGTATCCTGGTCTGATGGGTTTGCTGGTCTGATGGGTTTGCTGGTCTGATGGGTATCCTGGTCTGATGGGTTTGCTGGTCTGATGGGTATCCTGGTCTGATGGGTTTGCTGGTCCGATGGGTATGCTGGTCTGATGGGTATCCTGGTCTGATGGGTTTGCTGGTCCGATGGGTATCCTGGTCTGATGGGTATGCTGGTCTGATGGGTATGCTGGTCTGATGGGTATGCTGGCCTGATGGGTATCCTGGTCTGATGGGTATGCTGGTCTGATGGGTATGCTGGTCTGATGGGTATGCTGGCCTGATGGGTATGCTGGCCTGATGGGTATGCTGGTCTGATGGGTTTGCTGGTCTGATGGGTTTGCTGGTCTGATGAGTTTGCTGGTCTGATGGGTTTGCTGGTCTGATGGGTTTGCTGGTCTGATGGGTATGCTGGTCTGATGGGTATGCTGGTCTGATGGGTATGCTGGTCTGATGGGTTTGCTGGTCTGATGGGTTTGCTGGTCTGATGGGTTTGCTGGTCTGATGGGTTTGCTGGTCTGATGGGTATGCTGGTCTGATGGGTATGCTGGTCTGATGGGTTTGCTGGTCTGATGGGTTTGCTGGTCCGATGGGTTTGCTTGTCCGGTGTGTTTGCTGGTCCGATGGGTATGCTGGTCCGATGGGTTTGCTGGTCCGATGGGTATGCTGGTCTGATGGGTATGCTGGTCTGATGGGTATCCTGGTCTGATGGGTATCCTGGTCTGATGAGTTTGCTGGTCTGATGGGTATCCTGGTCTGATGGGTATCCTGGTCTGATGGGTTTGCTGGTCTGATGGGTTTGCTGGTCTGATGGGTATCCTGGTCTGATGGGTTTGCTGGTCTGATGAGTTTGCTGGTCTGATGGGTATCCTGGTCTGATGGGTATCCTGGTCTGATGGGTTTGCTGGTCTGATGGGTTTGCTGGTCTGATGGGTATGCTGGTCTGATGGGTTTGCTGGTCTGATGGGTTTGCTGGTCTGATGGGTATCCTGGTCTGATGGGTTTGCTGGTCTGATGGGTTGCTGGTCTGATGGGTCTGCTGGTCTGATGGGTCTGCTGGTCTGATGGGTATCCTGGTCTGATGGGTTTGCTGGTCTGATGGGTTTGCTGGTCTGATGGGTTGCTGGTCTGATGGGTCTGCTGGTCTGATGGGTATCCTGGTCTGATGGGTTTGCTGGTCTGATGGGTTTGCTGGTCTGATGGGTTGCTGGTCTGATGGGTCTGCTGGTCTGATGGGTCTGCTGGTCTGATTGGTTTTCTGGTCTGATGGGTATCCTGGTCTGATGGGTATGCTGCTCTGATGGGTATGCTGGTCTGACAGAACACCAGGCGCTTCCCTGTCACCGTCTAAAGCTTTCAGCCCAGAAGCTTCCTCAGTCTCCATCCTTGTGGGGAGGTTTTAAAGCTGCGTGTGGATCTCCATGTCTGCTGTGAATCCAGCCCAGAGACTTCTCTTCTGGGTCGGAGAGTTCTGCTCAGACTCGGACTGCTAATCTGTGATGTGGGCATTTGCCCGGTGGACCGGTCCTAATTTCAGCGTGCGAGGGCCGGCCCTCCTTAAATCATAGCGGCCCCAACACTCACTCTCTGGCTGAAGCTCCTATCTGTGACAGTTAATAACTACAGAAGCTAAAGAAGTAATCCAATGTTAACTACCTAAATGATGCATGCAATAGCCTATATATAGCCCTTCCTTTATGCTCATCCTTGTGTTTGTTTGCATATGGTGTCATTTTCTTTTTCTTCAAACTGTAGAATCCTTGCAACAAACTAAATTATAATAAAACTAAAATGCTTTCTTTTAACCAAACTGCGATATTCCTCTTGCATTTGACGAATTTATGTTCAAATATTTTGCAAAAACATGCGGTGCATGTTGGGGTTTGCATCTAAAGGCTAATCATTCTAATGTGAATGAGCAATGGAAACATAATCCATTGCTCGCTAGCTGTGCTGTGTGATGTGTTCAACCGTGTGGATTAAAGTGGAATCTGGAATAACTATTCTTAATAGTAGTAGTATCAGTAGGACTGCTGGTTTGGGTCTGTTGACTGATGGAACCTTGGTGTTTATATAATCCTATTTCATTGCCAACATGCCGCCTAGACTCTGACGCACCGCTGAGCTTTCATGGATTCATTCTTGAAGATCTGTCTGCCTGCCTCTAGATTTTATTGTTTTATGTTGGTTTTTTCATCCAGGTGGTTTCCTGTCCCAGACCAACACCACCTGGTTTCTGTAACGGCTGAATATTTGCATCTCTACAGGAAGTTAATCTACTCTCCACTTCCTCCTCCAGCTGAGCGATCGTCATGGTTACGGCGCACGCCGGTAGGAACGGCTGATCTCTGAGTTTCCTAACGCTGATCCTCACTTTTATTTTTACAACTTTCTCCTGCTCACACTTCCTCTTTCTCCTCACTTCCCACCTCCACTCTCCCTTCTCTGTTCTCCCTCGTTTCCTCCCTCAGCTCCCCCCCCCCTGTCTCCATGGCCTGGTTTCCACAGTAACATGGTAGCATATGGAGATGGTGGGATGACGCCTGACAGAGGAGGGTGAGAAAGTGTTAATTCAACACCTCGGGGTGAAGCAGCCAGTCTGTCTCTCGGTGCAAAGAGCACCCCCCCCCACCAGCTGGTTTGTACCTGTTGATGGACGATGAAGCTGCTGCCGAGGTTCTCTTCTCTGTTTTTGTCACCTGCAGACGACAGGACAGAAATTGGTTCAATTCCAGGTTCTGCAACATTTCTTCCAAAACCATTAAACTCTGTTGAATGTTTTTATACATAATTTATTCAGGTTTGTATTGCTTTATATCCCACTTTTGTTGTCATAGTAACGCATTTCCAATCAAGAAGGAGATCATGCACTGCAAAAAATGATTTGGAAATAAGTAAAAAAATGTCTTAAATGTCTTTTTTGTATTTACTCTTAATATCAGCCTGTAAATAAGATATTTTGCCGATGGAATTAGTATTTTTACTCTTAAAATAAGATTATTAAATAACATGCACTTGAAATGAGACTATTTTAAATGTAAGTTGTCTTGTTCCATTGGCAAATTGCTAACTTAGCTCCTCAATTCAAGAAAAAAAATGACAAATTTGAAGAAAACATGACTTATTTAGATGGACAATTTTTGCTTTGTGTGTTTGATAAACTCTGAACCATCTCTGGATTTTTCTTGGAAGGTTTGTTATGAAATCAGTGGAAACTTGAAGCACAGAGAACAGCTTCACTTCCCACAAAAACAATGTTTCACCCTCTGGGTCTGAGGAACAAACGTCCTGGTTTGTTGGTTCCTGATCTCTCGGGTCGGGTCGGATCAGTGGATTAGGGATGCTCCGTCCATCTCAGTTATTGTCTCCTTAAACCAAACACCTCACCTGCGTTGCCTGCATGGCGGCCGCTCAGGACAGCTGTGGTTACAATGCAGCTTAGCACCATGTTTGTGTCATTGCCAGAAGGCACTGTAAACTGCTTTCAGTTTCTTAGACTTTATAAACCGCTAAACACAGATCTTTTATCTTTTTTTATAATTAGTAAGCGAGGTCCTCAAAAAAAAAAAAAAAAAGGTGTGATTTGTAGAGACAAACTCAACAGCAGCTTAGTTTGCTGCTCTTTGTTTGGTTGTTTTTAGACTCAGAGTTAAAGAACGGGGTGAGAAGTGGCCCTGGGCTGGTTGACAGAGCAAAGACTGCTCTGGGTCACTGTCACTACCCGATCAGAACCGGAAGCACGATCTGTTCCGGAAGCACGATCTGAACCAGAAGCACGATCTGAACCGGAAGCACGATCCACTAAAAGTACTTATTTCTATCCTTAAATCACTAAAGAATGCTAAGCTAAATCTTTAAAAAAAATGACTTTTCTGAGACAATTTGATGCTTTTTACATTTTCTCCGTCAAACAGCTTCTCTGACGTCATCATCAGTCATGCTCAGGGCAGTGTTTATCAGCATTTTAGTTGTTTCCTTGTTTAGATTACGCACTATATAGCATAATGTTAACATAAAAAATAAAGGAAACTGAAAAAGATTAGATTTATGTTTAAATTCAAAGCCGAAAAACGTAGCTCCTGGAAGTAGCATAGGATCCCAGAAGAGCGGTGAAACAGAAAGGATTTAAAAGCATTTATTATCTCAGAAAATATATTATTAACCTTTAAAATGTTTTAGTTTATTATGCTTATTATATTTAGGGAGGGAAAAAGCTATTTAGCTTTTTTACAAAGTAAAATGAAGGGTGAGCCAGATGTGTATCTGGTTCACAGATGAGCTGATGGTATGGATCGGGTAGTGACAGCTAACAGTACCAAACGCTATCACGAGCTAATGCTAACTCTAGCCAATACTAATGGTAGCTAATACTAACTCTAGCTAATATTAACAGTAGCTAATGCTAACAGTAGCCAATACTAACGGTAGCTAATATTAACTGTAGCTAATGCTAACTGTAGCTAATGCTAACAGTAGCTAACGCTATCACTAGCCAATACTAACGGTAGTTAATACCATAGATATCCATAATAAAGGCTAGATGTCTTACGGCGGAGTCTCAAACGTCATCACCGGGCGGCCATCTTACCACAGGCAGGCTTTCTGTTGTGCTCTGTGGTATTTAATGTAAGGTGAGTGATCAGCACGGACACAAATACTCTTATCTCATTGAATCCTTGACGGATTTACAAACAGTTTGGTTTCTTACAAACGTTATGAACGTGGCTATAATTCTTGATGCTTGAACATGTCGAAATTGCAGATTTTCTTGTCGAAAAATGACTTGATCGTGCAGCATAGTTGTGCATCACGGTTACTTGCGCAAGTTATCAATAACGATTGTATGACAATTAATCTTTAGTGTAAATTACAATCTTTGTGGATGTGGTTGTAGCTATTAGTTGGCTAATAACAATAATCTGAGTGTTGTTGTATTTTCATTATTAGCCTAACGTTAGCTGGCTAAGAACAAGAAGCTGCGAAGTGAGACCTAAAGTTAGTAAGTTAGCAGCTAACGTTACAGTTTAGCTAGCTGCTAACGTTAACCAGCAACTTTGCATCAGTGGAAGAGGCAGAATTTATACATGATTAATGCATGATTTCCAATCGATTTGGTTTGTCAAAACATCTTACATTATGTTACAGGAATTTGCTGGGTCTATTAATAGGAAGATGCCAGACTTTTGTGCAGCCTACGGATGCTCCAATCGCCGTAGTGTCAAAACGAGTGCCAGTGGGATCACCTTTCACATGTAAGATATGAAATTATGATTGGTTTTTGGGATAATCGTTAGTTAATTAGTGGATGTATGTACAATACAGGCTCTGGTACACAGGAACAGCGGGGCTATGACTTAATAGTATTACAAGATTGCCAATAGTCAAAACCTGAGGGAAATCAATATCCCAATGGCCCAAAAAGATAAATGTTCCCTTAATTTCCCCATGGTTATTATAAATTATTTTAATAATACAACTCTTATTTCAGGATTTGTTGTGCGACGGGCTCTAAAAAAGCTGTCCTGTGATGTCTGCCGTGCCAGCTTGGTAACAGATGCTGCATCTGCCATCAAGGACCAGAACTACCACCTGCTGAAGTTAAAAAACAATGGAGGTCTGGTGATTCCATCAGAAGGCACAGTGATGGTAGTCAGGGCAGCAGAGTGGGTTCTTCGTCAGACCTCATGTACCAGACGATCACAGCCCATCAAAGTGCTAGAGGTCGTGTACATTGTACGGAAGAGGATAGGGTCAGAGGATGTGTTTGTGCTTGGAGAGCACATCGGAGAAACGCAGTATGGCATAGACAGCCACCACCATACGCTGTTAACATTGGTTGTGTCCTTGTTTTTTAAGTTAAGGCTGCACCACATTGCCAAAATAACCAACCTTGGCTTACAGAGCAACAACATGCGACAGAAACACAATAAAACCGTCCTTTTCAAAGGGCATTAACCAAGCTATGTTTTTTGGGTCATTTTTTCATCTCTGTCTTCCATGTGTATACCATCACAGTAGTGTAGGTGGGGATTTCAACATGCTACATCTATATACAGGTGCTGGTCATAAAATTAGAATATCATGAAAAAGTAGATTGATTTCAGTAATTCCATTTAAAAAGTGAAACTTGTATATTATATTCATACATTACATACAAACTCATATATTTCAGATGTTTATTTGGTTTAATTTTGATGATTACAAATGACAACAAATGAAAATCTCAAATTCATCATATCAGAAAATTAGAATATTGTGAAAAGGTTCAAAATTGATGGCCCCTGGTGCCACACTCTAATCAGCTAATTAACTCAAACCACCTGCAAAAGCCTTTAAATGGTCTTTCAGTCTAGTTCTATAGGCTACACAATCATGGGGAAGACTGCTGACTTGACAGTTGTCCAAAAGACGACCATCGACACCTTGCACAAGGAGGGCAAGACACAAAAGGTCATCGCTAAAGAGGCTGGCTGTTCACAGAGCTCAGTGTCCAAGCACATTAATAGAGAGGCGAAGGGAAGGAAAAGATGTGGTCGAAAAAAGTGTACAAGCAAGAGAGATAACCGCACCCTGGAGAGGATTGTGAAACAAAACCCATTCAAAAATGTGGGGGAGATTCACAAAGAGTGGACTGCAGCTGGAGTGAGTGCTTCAAGAACCACCACACACAGACGTATGAAAGACATGGGTTTCTGCTGTCGCATTCCTTGTGTCAAGCCACTCTTGAACCACAGACAGCGTCAGAAGCGTCTTGCCTGGGCTAAAGAGAAACAGGACTGGACTGCTGGTGAGTGGTCCAAAGTCATGTTCTCTGATGAAAGTAAATTTTGCATTTCCTTTGGAAATCAAGGTCCCAGAGTCTGGAGGAAAAGAAGAGAGGCACTTCATCCACGTTGCTTGAAGTCCAGTGTAAAGTTTCCACAGTCAGTGATGGTTTGGGGTGCCATGTCATCTGCTGGTGTTGGTCCATTGTGTTTTCTGAGGTCCAGGGTCAACGCAGCCACATACCAGGAAGTTTTAGAGCACTTCATGCTTCCTGCAGCTGACCAACTTTTTGGAGATGCAGATTTCATTTTCCAACAGGACTTGGCACCTGCACACAGTGCCAAAGCTACCAGTACCTGGTTGAAGGACCATGGTATCCCTGTTCTTAATTGGCCAGCAAACTCTCCTGACCTTAACCCCATAGAAAATCTATGGGGTATTGTGAAGAAGAAGATGCAATACACCAGACCCAACAATTCAGAAGAGCTAAAAGCCACTATTAGAGCAACCTGGGCTATCATAACACCTGAGCAGTGCCACAGACTGATCGACTCCATGCCACGCCGCATTGCTGCAGTAATACAGGCCAAAGGAGGCCCAACTAAATACTGAGTGCTGTACATGCTCATACTTTTCATGTTCATACTTTTCAGTTGGCCAACATTTCTATAAATCCTTTGTTTTTATTGGTCTTCAGTAATATTCTAATTTTCTGATATGATGAATTTGAGATTTTCATTTGTTGTCATTTGTAATCATCAAAATTAAACAAAATAAACATCTGAAATATATGAGTTTGTATGTAATGTATGAATATAATATACAAGTTTCACTTTTTAAATGGAATTACTGAAATCAATCTACTTTTTCATGATATTCTAATTTTATGACCAGCACCTGTATACTTGTGAAGGGGACTATTGTACCAATTTTA